GACACCCTTCCAGGAGGGCCTCCGCCTGTACACTCTCGGGACACCCTTCCAGGAGGGCCTCCGCCTGTACACTCTTGGGACACCCTTTCTGGAGGGCCTCTGCCTGTACACTTTCGAGACACCCTTCCAGGAGGGCCTCTGCCTGTACACTTTCGAGACACCCTTCCAGGAGGACCTCTGCCTGAACACTCTTGCGAAACCCTTCCAGGAAGGGCAGGTATCCTTTGAGCTAGCGAGTGAACTCCAGGAGATGAGTCACAGTTTGCAGCTGAGAGAAGGAAGATACTCCTTGGCCTCTGGGTTCTGTACTGGCTATTGCCTTAAGCTGAGGGAGAATCTGAGAAATAGCCCTGTGATTGTTGTGTCTACACTTAGTGGAAGCATGTTGAGGAGAGTGGTGTTCCTGTCTACAGGAACCATGGAGGAACTGTCTCACTTCAGGACTCCTGTGCAGTCGCCTGTGTCCTGGGCTGGCTTTTCCTCTCATGTAACTCTTCCCAACCCCTTCTTTGCTATGGGTTGCTATGGCCCAGGGGAAGTCAGGGCCAAACTATTTCAAATAGCTGGCTAACTTCACAGCCCACAGTTTGTGTCACACTCACCTCTGACTTCCAGCTTACTTTCTTACTCTGCTTTTTCTCTTTGTTTCTCACTCTAAAGAGAAATGTTGCAGTATAGAATAAACCTTTAGATGCTTTACAGGCTTGTGGAGCAAGGCAGAGTACCACTAAATTAAGAGTGGCTACGTTTGAGTCTATCACACAGTAGCATGATCTTTGGCTGAAAGTAAGACAAAGAAATACATCAGTCAGCACAAAGCCAGTCAAGCCACCCCGGCAGGTGTTACCACTCTTCTGCCTTTAGTAGCTCTGGAAAATTCAGTCTTGTCTCACTGTTAGGTGTTTCAGCCAAAGTCTGGGTGAAGTTCTCTCCCAGGCATGATGGCTATTGTACTTTAAGAGGCGTGAGAAGTACAGAGGGGTACCTTTGTTTATTTGTTCATAATAATTGGTTTTTTAGGGGGTTTTAATACAGACGGATAGTTCCATGGATAAAAGTGTTATTCTTCCATCATAAGTATGGTTCCACGCTTCGACATTTTACTCCTTTATTCTCTGTCCTGCTGGTCTTCTTCACCCTTCCATCTTTCCTTCTATTTGCTCATTTATTTATTCACTAAACACATTACTGAGCAGTCAGTTCTGCACCAGGTCCTCCTCAACACTAGCATCTCATGGTGGGTAGACACGCTTAGAAACAGTTATTCACAGACAGCTCAAGTGAGCTAGGAAAAGTGTGTCTGTATTGGTAGTCAGGGAAGACTTCTAGGAGGAAGTGACAATGGGCTTGGGTATGGGGGGGGGTAGTTCACCAGGTACACAGCCAGGGTGACATCCCAGGCCAAAAGGGTCACATGCATATGAGAGTTTGGCAGGATTTAGACTGGCTGGAAGTGAAGTCGGTGTACAAGGAAGGGGATATTGAGAGTAGTTGACAAAGGATCTAATGTGCCTGGCCATGGAGTTTCAGCTGTGTCCTGTAAAGAGATAGAAGCCAAGGCAACGACATGGCCAGATCAATGCTTTAAAAAGATCACTTTGATGATAGGGTGGGGGATGGGCTGGGGGCGGGAGGGGGAAGTGGGAGAAGATGACAGCATCCAGGGAGAGGGGACGGTGGCCTGGGCAGTGAAGGGGCACCAGGGATGGAGAGAAGCAAGCAGCTTTGAAAGATGCAACAGGATTATTGGGGGTTGGAAGTGGGTCAGGAGGGCAGGCCCAGTGCTGGCTCTCCTGGGTTTGTCCCTGAGTGCTGTGGTGGAGGCTGGGGTGTGGCCTGCAGTCCTACAACTGTCCTGCCCCTGTGTGTCCTTGCAGAAGTACACAGCCACTGAGCGGGAGCTGCAGCAGCAGATGAGTCTGGGCCAGCTGTGCTACCCCGAGCCCATCTCCTTTGAGCCCGTCAAGTGCTTCTTCAAGGGCCTAGTGGAAACCATGCAAAGCATGTTACAGACGCCACTGGAAGTCCGCCTGAAGGAGAGTAAGTGGCTGCGTGGATCATCTTCGTATCTGTAGCTGCCCTCGTGTCCTTTAGCCCAGAGACAACTGCGAGGATCTCCAGCCTAACATGTCTCTCCCATCCAAAGGCCTTCGACTGGGCTGTCCAGGGCTCCCTGGATTGGGCCCCAACCTTCAGCCTTCACCCCTCCTGAGACTATGACCTGTCACTCGCAGCCCACAGCTCTATTTCTGCCCCTGGGTAATTCCTGGATTCTGCACTACCTCATCTTCGCCTGCTCTAGACTCCCAGCCGGGATGGGCAACTTCTTCTTCCTCTGCCTGGCCAAGTCCTGCCTTTGTGAGGCTAGTACAGTTGTGCTGGGAAGTCCTGGTCACCCCACCTCAAAGCTTCCCTCCCTCCCTTGGGTGTCCTCTCTGCACTAACCCCTGTAGCGCCTGCTCCGTCACCTACCTGGGGGACACTCACATCCCTTTCCTGCCCTCTTGTAAATGCAAGGAAGGCAAATCCACTTTGGATCCAGCCCTGAGGTTCTCAGAAATACCCCTTCCTTCCTTCATTCACCATTCACTCATGTCTGCTATTATGATTTGTCAGGAACATCCACAGAGCCCTTATGTACCACATATAGCAGAGGGCAAAACAAACCTCCCACCACTGTGGTCCTCTGTATTTGGGGGAGACAGACAAGTAAATGTCAACAAGTGCCCTGGGAACTCCCTGGTGGCCTAGGGGCTAAGTCTCAGTGCTGTCACCGCTACTGCCTGAGTCCCTCTAGCCAGGGAAGTGTATTGCCCGTGGGGATTTGCTTGGCCAGTTCTGTGCTGGTTTTACTATTAAAGGCAACAGTCTGATTTGGAAGACTTCTTACACTTGGTACCAATCAATCTGCTAAATATCATGGAAATCCTGACCTGAGAGGGGCAGGAAAATGACTCTAAGAAATGACTGATCAACTTCTTCCAGACAGCATATTGACAAGTTTTCTGTATGTCTTTTTTCAAACTCTCTGTTTGTCTTTTTATAAACCTATTTACCTGCTCCATGAAGTCCAAATTTGAATTCGGAAGAATCACAGAACATCCTGGACTAGGGAGTGATTCTGGAAGAGCCCCTGGGCTGAGACAAGTGATAGTGGACATGAACCACCAGTCCAGGAGTCTGTTGAAAATTCAGGTTTTTAATGGTGACAAAAGGCACCTTAAAAAAAAGAAAGAAAGAAAGAAAAGAATTGGGACGAATGAAGTGTTTGGATTGGTTAAGTTCTAAAAGCTTGGCCTCCTATATGGCAATATCAAATTGGCAACAGGATCTCTGATTCTTGAGTTCTGGGATGAGGGGAGAAGTGTTCACATAGGGTGGCGCGGGTAGGGGTGGAGTGGGGAACTTCTTCCCACCAGGTGGGCAAGGAAGTCATCTCTGGGAAAGGGGTGGATTCCAGCCCAAACAGCTGAGGAGGCAAAGGCCCAGGGACAGGATCCTGGTGGAGGGAATAGCAAGTGTCAAGGGGCCTACCTAGGGGAAGAGATTGATGAGCTTCGGGCACAGAGTGGAGGCCAGAGTCACAGGAGCATGGCGAGGGAGTGTGGTGAGGGCCGGGCTGAGAAGGAGACAGCTGGAAGCTGCCTCGTCATATGGGACCAAGCGGAGCATCACTGGCTCCTAAGATGAGGAGAAAAGGAGAGGGAAAGAGGCAATGAGGCTACAATGATGGAAGTCCCCACTGAGCACTCTGGGATGCAGACAGAGGGGAGTCTGGGCCCCAGCCATCTGCAGAGTATGCCGACTCCATGGGGTGAGTGCATGACTTCAATGGCCAGGGCCGTGCGAGCCCAGGAACAGAGCGCGGTTTTGAGGGGAAACCAGGACGCCTTCCTGGAAGAGCTGATATGTAGCTGGACTTTCATGAGTCACTAAGCTTGGGGAAATGGGAACAGGAAAAGGCTTTTCACCCTGAGACAAGAGAAGGCTAAATTATGTTTGGGACACTCAAGTGTGCAGTGAGGCTAAGTAGTGACTACTTGAGCTGCTTTGTTTTAAAGCCAACTTTTTTTAAAAAAATCTTTGACCAGTGTTCTCTTTGCCCATAACCTTTACTGGAATCTTGGGTATATCGTCCAGCTGAAAAATTCTTCTTGTGTTTTAATTATTTTAAAGGAATCATGGCAGTCTAGATAATTCAATTAAAAAAATAGGCTAGCCAAACATGAAAGGAAACTAACAAGTAAGCATCTTAGCCAGCAATTGCTCCAGGAAGCTTTGGGCTTGTCAGTATCCAGTGGGTGGACATTAGTGTGTTTCCCATCCCTGCTCCCAACAAGAAGTTACCGAGAGGGACCCCGAGGCAGTTCATATTTCCATCCTCAGTGATCCTGTCCCAAAGGACTGGCAGCGCCTCTTGCGTCCATGAGGACAGTGGACACTTGCTCAGTACCAGGTGTTGTTTATTGAGATTCATCCAGCAACTCCTCACCATTACCCTGTATGGTCAGCGTCTTCATTCTCCCCAAAGAGACTGATCAGCTTGCCCTAGATCAATCAGCTGGTAGCTGGCAGAGCAGAGCTCAAATAGAACTTCCTCAACCAGCTCCTTTCTTCCTCCCCCCTGCTCCCATCCAGAACTGAGCCTCCCAGCAGGCCTCTCTGCCTCATGCTCACCCTGCCCCCCCCCATTCCCCACCACAGAGAGCTCTGGGGAGCCTGTTTATGTAGATCCTCACTCAGACGCCCTCCAAGCTTGCTCTGGCTTGGAGCCAGAAGGCTTCTCTATATCTGCCTTTGTCCTTACTTCCACTATACCTTCTTGTTAGGAAAAAATTTATCCTTTTTTTCCCTGGGTACCCCAGTCTTCCTCATCATCTAGGGGCCAGATGAGGTGCTTCTTCCTCCGTGAAGCTTCCCGGGCCCCTTCAAGCCCTAGAGTCCCATTCCCCTCTTCTCTTAACTGGAAGCACTCTCTGGCTTGGGTGGTGCTTCAGGGGAGCCTCCTTCTCTCCTCATTACCCGACTGAGCTGTGGAAAACACGGACCATCACTTGTTTTTCCCCTAAACCTCTCCTGAGAATGAGGCTGGAACATGATCTTTCTGAGGGTCAGCTGTAATTCTTGCTTTCCATCTTTATCCTGGTCTTTCATTTCTACCTTGAGGTTGCTGCCATCCTATTCTGTTGGGTACAGAATTGATTGCCAGGGTCCTCGGGAGGCTGCTGCCCCTGCCTCATGGCTCCCTGGCATTGCTCTGCCATGCTGGATGTGCGTCCTGTCCTGGAAAGTGCATGTTTCTTCTTAGAGCTGAGCTTTGCTTAGAGTGAATTTGCATTCCCTCTAAATGTGCAAAGGAAGCTTGGATCAAGACTTCGCAAGATCTCCAGTTTGCAATGGTTTTAGTAGTTTTTTCATTTGTACTGTTTGCATGAGCACCAAGCACTCATATATCATGTTTGTTACAGACCTGAACTGCCAGCTCTTGGGGTCCTCCAGCGCCAAGACAGGCTCCCTTTTGAAAACAAGTCCTCCTCCAGAGCGCCAGCTCTTCTTAAAATGTAAGTGGGGAGAGGGTGAAGGAGGTGGGCTGTGGGGCCAGCCTCTTAGACATGGACCCCTCTTAGCTCCTAAGAGTGCCAACTTGGGTTTTTAAAACCTTTATTGTGTTTTTTAAATCCAATAGTGAATACATGTTCATTATGGAAACAGTTAACAAAGGAAAGCAAAGATTTGACAAAGAAAATCACTTATGGGTTACTCTCCCATAGCAACTATTATGATTTGCCCTTTCAGTTTTCATAACTATATGTCTATATCTACATATAAATGATATATTTAATATTTATACTTTGCAACCATGGTGTCATGCTATGCATACTGTTTGGTAAAGCATTTTCACTTACCGATGTATTGTGAATATATTTTCTCCCTTAAAAAAATGATACAGCATGCTTTTTATAGAAAGTTAGAAATTAGAAAAGTACAAAAAAAAGTTAAATGCTGTTAATATTTGGGCTTATATTTTTCAGACATTTTAAACTACATACATGTGTAGATATTTTTAATGGTATTATAAATTTTAATAACTTAGTTTAAACAATATTATATTTTGATAAATTTAAATACTGTGATTATTTTTAAAGGATGCATAGAATTACACTGAATAAAATTACCATATGTAACTACTGTCATAATGTTGGACATTTAGGTTGCTTTATATTTTCATCTCGATAAACTGTGATGTGATAAACATCCACTCCTGCATATATTTGTTGAATTAGTGAATGGATGAGTACACCTGCCACCTTGGTGTGTTGTATTCTAGGAGTAATTTCTCAACGTAGAATGACTGAGCATGCATTTAAAAAAAAAAAAACTTTAACTGAAAGATAAAGTTCATAAAGAGGAGAGCACAAATCAGAGGGTGTAGATTAATGATCTAAAAATGAACACACTATACAGACCTAATTTAGATCAAGAATTGGAAATTTCCAGCTCCCTGGAACCCCTTCTCATACCTTGTCCTATTCACTAGCCCCCAAGGGGAACCTTCTCCTGACTTCTAAAAGTACAGATTAGTTGCTTGGTTTGGGACTCTTAGGTAACTTGATCAGACTATACTGTTTTGTGTCTTTCTTCTATCACTCAGTATTTTTGAGATTTATCCTTATTGTTGGGGAGCAATACTTTCTTCACTCTCAATGCTGTAAAATACTCCATGGCATGAATATGGTATAACACATTTTACCTGCAGGACATTTTGGATGATTTCAGATATTGACTATTGTAATGTTGTTATGAACACTCTTGTGCATGTCTTTTGATGCACAGATATATGGAGGGTGGGTATTTACTCAGGAATCAGCGACAAGGGTACCCACGATAGCCATAAATATATTCTGTTAGAATATTAACAGTGTTCTAAATGTCCTGGGCAGTGCCTTAAAGCGAGAAAAAGAAATGAAAGTTATAAGGATTGTAAAAGAGGGAGGGGGAAGAACATTAGTTGTAATAACATGATAATTTTTGCAAAATTTAACTCAAAGTAACTCAATTATGTTAGAGTTATTATGTGAAATTGGAACAGCCCTGGAACAGTTCCCCTCCTACGCCACTTTCAAACAGGCAGGCAGCTCCTTTGGGTCTGTGGTAAAAGGCTCTCTCACCCTACCTCACCTCACTCAGCACAACAGCTTACTCTACTTTCTGCATATTAGCAATAAACTATTAGAAAATGAAAACTTACTGTTCTGTAACATTTTTTAAAAACTAGGAATGAATCTAACAAAAGATGTACAAAACCTCTACGGAAAATACTAGCAAACTATTTGACCATTCCACCTAAATCCTAAGATCTAGCTCTTATTTATCTATCTTATTTACTTATTTGTAAAAGAGAACCTTTATTGAGAGTTTAAATTAGTGTCACCTCTCTAGAGGACAATTTGGTGACATTTACCAAAGGCTTAAAAGAAATCACAACCCCTCCCCACACACACACACACACACATACACCTACCATTGACCCAGCAATTCCTCCTTTAGCAGTATACCTTAAAAAATAATCAGGTACATAAAGATGTAATCATGTTTTCCATAGCTTCTCTAAAAAGTCCAAATATTAGGAAAAGAGTGGGGATGGAGGATAGATTAAATTACAGTGCATCCATACATCAAAATCTTAGGGTCGTCATCTTACTAAAGTTATTTTGGGGTGATAAAATGTTCATAAATACATCGATAAAAGTAAAAAAAAATACCCAAGTACACGTACTGTATGATACCAATGTTGAAAAAAACCTGGTAAATATAGCAAGATACACACCCAGGTGTTACTGTGATAGGATCTATTTTTAATAACAATTTTAGAAATCGGCAACACATTCTGACAGAAAATTCAGACTTCAGAGAGTGTACAATAAAATTCCCCCCCTCTCCC